CAAGTTAATGATTGGGGTTGTCTGAAAGAAGATAAATCATGAAAACACAGTTTAGTTAAAAAGTAAAAAAAACACCAAAAAATGTATAGAATAGCCTGTATTTTAAGTGGCCAACGTGATCTCTTGTTCTCTGTCTCTCTCTGTCTCTCTCTGTCTCTCTCTGTCTCTCTCTCTGTCTCTCTCTCTCTCTCTCTCTCTTTTTTTTCCCTTTTGTAGGGGCCCCTGGTCGGGGTATTAAAATTGTTCCTACCATGTTACAACAGTGCGTGTCCTCCTAAGAACCCAGAGGGCAGATTTAAATGAATTAGTTTTGGGAAGTGTTGTTACATTGGTCTTCTATTGTAAGGGGTGCATGCCTTCCAAACACCGTTTGTTGTTCAAGCACATATTCCGTGCCATCCACGTTTTCTTTTGTACACAGGTGAAGAACATTATCACGCCAAAACGAGTGGTCATCGTCATCGTTTTCCTTTCCATTACCCTTATCACAAGTGTTTCCCCAGTTTATTACGTGAACAGGATCGGGCCCAAGTTTTCCCCAATACGAAACAGAACAGTGATAGGACTTCTTTTTACTGAAGATCGCGAAGAAGTGGAAGCAATTTCCTTCGCTGTGAACAACGTCATCGTACCTTTCTGCGCCTTTTTCGTTGTCATCGTCTGCACTGTGACCTTGGTCGTCAAGCTCCGTAGCAAAACAAAATGGAGAAAGGAAACAGCCTCTGCGGGGAAATCCGATAATTTCTCTAGTCGTGATCAAAAAGTGACAAAAATGGTGACGATGATTTCTACTTTGTTCATCGTCTGCTTCACTCCTGTTTCTGTTATGTTCATTGGAATGACCGTGGAGCCTGAACTTTCTGTAGACGGGCAATATCGTAACTTGTTCTTTATTCTTTTTTCCTTTGGCTATATCCTTGAGTCTACAAATTCTGCTCTGAACATTTTCATATACTATGAAATGAGCTCTAAATACCGAACTGTATTCAATCACACCTTTAGAAGAAAATGTGCAAGCCAGGCAAAAGACAACGAGGCTTCATCTGATCTCTGAATAAAGAACAGCGAAGCTCAGCACCACGAGTTTTGGATTACCCGTTCCATTGATGGGATTAGTTACAGTCATATCAATCAGATAACGCTCAATTAATGCCCCGATCCCAGGTCTGTAACCTACTGCTACCTGAGCCTAAACCATACGTGTGGTGTAGATACTTGGATGTCTGGCAATTCCTTTACTGCTTATCATAATGCAACTTAGGTGCTGAGTCAGAGACAAACATATCATTATAACCTTGCTCTTACTCATAGCTTTTTATAAAGACTGTTTTTCGCTTTCATTCTTCTCAGTTTCGAT